TTCTTTTTTTGGACGTAACACTAATATCTTCCCATTTTTAAATCTTCCCGTCATACCCTCAATAATTTTAAAAATAGTACACTATTACATCTACTTTTTTTGGATATATCCTTCATTCCATCACATTATTTCACTATCTTCCCGTCATACCCCTAATAATACATATCTACTTTCACTATTCTTAATCTACCTACTTTTCAAATGGGAACATCCCAATGTTACGGAGGTAGTACTCCGTATCAATTTATCACATTATTATCCGAACGTCTAACTATGTTTAGGACTATACCGTCTATGCGTGTACAATTTCTACTTTGGAGCAGTGGTCTGAAAGGTAAAAATGTTACTCTATCATAAATATGTTCAAAACCAACATAATTGTTAATGGAGGACACTTTTGTCTTTGCTAATGTGATTGTGGTTTAAAAACAAAGATTTTTGAAAACGGAATAAAATCCAATTTGAACAATAAAATGGAGTATACATTCAAATTACCTCTTGTAATTACTACTCTTACTAGTTTTATAATCTCCTTACAATATACAAGTAAAGAAAGTGCAGTGCATGTTTGGCAAAATAACTCCATACGTTCAAGATCAGATGTTGTAAAATGTTTTTCAAAAATTTGTAGTTATATGTTTGACACAATAAATTTCACTAGTTTTTTAAAGGGATAAGGGTCAGATAGGGCATCGAACTTGAAAAAAAATGTCAAATAAGGCCATATTTAGGATGCTCTGTCCGGCCGACGTCATTTGGGGTGGTTTCCGGTGGAATTTTTTGATGACATTTTTTCAGAATCTTATTCATTAAGTCTAGTTTACTCATATCAAATTTGAACTAAGAATTCAATCGGGAAGACATTCAAATGAATTCATGAAGATAACTGCACTTTTAACGGTACAGTTATCTTCAAGAACTCATTTGAATGCCTTCCCGATTAAAGTTTTAGTTCAAATTTGATATGAATAAACTAGACTTAATGAATAAGATTCTAAAAAAATTTCATCAAAAAGTTCTACCGGGAACCACCCCAAATGGCGTCGGCCGGACAGAACATCCTAAATATGGCCTTATTTGACATTTTTTTTCAAGTTCGAGACCCTATCTGACCCTTATCTCTTTTTTAAATGAAAGATCTTCTTGGAAACTACACTAATAAGTAGTTTCTGAAAAAAGCATGTGGTTATAATATTAATTAGTCACAACAATTTGTTATATAGGTTGAATATAACTAAATTAAACCATCATTTTCTTATAAAAAAACTACAACCGTTTTCTTAGATTTTAAGATTGTTTCGAAATTAACTAACGACGACTGAATGGCCACAAAGGTATGTAACTATGTCTATGTAAGTACTGCCAAACATACTCAATAGAAGGAATTGAAGTCATTTATGTAAATGAGGAATTATTGAGCACCAAGGCAACACACACCCTTAAAATATAAGAAAAAAACATTTTCCATATCATTGAAGTGAACTTTCATACTTATAAAATACAGTCATATAAATGAATGCATGACACCTTCATTTTCAGTTTTCACTCAATGTCGCTGTTATGTCTATAAGTAATACGAAGTACGTAGTAGGATAGTATATGCTTGCCTATAAGTAATACCTAGAGTATGTGCTTAAACGAGTAACATACAAGTTATAACGTTTTAAGAGAAAAACTAAGAGTGTACATTCCTAATTCTTCAGAATCATAAACCTTATCAATATTTTGATTTGAACAAAAAATACAAAAATATAATCTTATTGATTTTAGATTTAGGATAGCCACTACTACGGGTTTTTTGGACCAATTATTATTACTACTCAATTACACATTTACACACATATAAAGCATGTGTGACATTTACAATTGGAGCATAATCTAGTGTTTTATTTTCTTAAAAACGTTATTTGATAAGTAATAATCAAGCATTACATAACATGTACACATATTACATTAATTAACGACACTATGTAGATAAAAGTAAATATTAAATTCAAAATAAATATTCTCACGTCATTATTAGAACTATTCTAAAATTTCAAGACATTATTCTGTTCAGAAGCACTCAAGTTAAACAAAGTTCAAGAATTTGAGTTAATATTCTTAAAAGATAAATGTAGTTAAAAAGGAAAACATTATTAAAAATGTGAAACTATGCGCTAGTTAGGATATTTTTACTTGGACTGTAATTTGCTGGTCTGGTCTGGTCTGGTAAGGTCTGTTTTTTTTGTATTCTTATAACTATCCAAGTCTGGTCTGGTCTGAACTGGTCCGGTCTGGTCTGGTCTGGGACAAATTACAATTCAAGTAAAAACATTCTTAGAGACTTTTCATAAAAGTAAATTGAATTTAACTTCCAATCAAAATTTGAAAATCATATATAGGATTTTCATTTTTTATTTTGCATCACACAGTCTTGTGAATTGTGATCCAGGGATGCTGAAATTTTTAGAATCCTTCTATTAGAAAAAATAAGTTGCCGTTTTTTGCTCATTATGTTGTACGGAGTAATAAGTTGCGTTACTTTTAGATATACAGCTTTATGCAATAGAAATAAATTTTATATGATACTTTAAATAAAAAGTATACTCCCTCCGTCCCATTCAAAGGTTCATGTCCACTATTCACATGGTCAACTTAAATCATTTTTAATTTTTTGCTTTATACTACCTCTGTTCTTAAATAAATGCAACATTTTGACTTTTACACTATTCACATGTTCTAATTTAACTACGTTTTATTAATGTAATAATATTATTTTATGAAAAAAATATTGTTAAACTTGTCTCATTGTAAATTTTCATAATCTAATTTTTTTAATTTTTTTACTAATACTAAATCATTTATATTAATGGTCAAAGTTGTGTCTTCGCAAGTGTGAAATGTTGACCGTTGCATTTATTTAAGAACGGAGGAAGTATATTAAATTTTTATCAAATTTAAATTCTTATTTTCAGGTTTTGTAGCAGTTTTAATGTAGTTTCTGAATATGTAAATTTTATTTACTAAAAATAGATAGAGTGTGAACAAGGATTAAATTGCGTTATCAGCCAAGTATCGTAAACCCTAACTCGAACCTCCAAAGTACTATCTAAATGAATGCTTCGTTCAAAAAATGAAATAAATGCTCATTGGCCATAAATTTTTGATTGGTCTTTGCATGTAGGCCTAGATTAAACTAAATGCATATGGTAAATTTGAATGTTTTAAATGATCCATTCATTTCAACAGACGACACATATATAGAGGATTGGTAGACCACTTGTAGATGTACTCTGCGTCTCTGCTCAATAAAAACAAACAAGACAGATCAGGGCTCAATTGAATCTTTTATCTTCGTTTTTTTATTTGGTTTAAATAAGTTTCATATTATATACTACGTAGTTTATGAAATAAAAAAAAAATATAAAGTTGGTGTTACACATATTTTTCAATTTTCTAAATATTTTAATATATTTTCTGAATTAGTAACTTTTTTTCTAAAAATAATTTGAATGCGGACAGAGATCTGTTTGCTTTATCGTCGGTCAAGCATCGTAAATCGAATTGTCCCAAACATAGCGGAACAGAGGTAGTAATATTTTTGAAAAATACTCTAAATTTATCACTTCAATCATTTTTTCAAATTTAAAATCGAAAATTAGTTTAAGAGAATTAAAATAGAAATTTTTGTAAATGAAAGTAGAAGGGATGGAGGAATAATAAGGGTTGGTTTGCAACTATTTTTAAAAAAGCACTTCTCAGTTTTTGGCTTTAAAAAAGCACTTATTTTCCCAAACACTACAACTTTTATTTTTCTCGGCTTCCGCGTCAAAAGTGTTTTTACTCTTTCTATTATACAAAAAACCCTTATTTTACCAAACACTAGCCACTTTTACTTTTCAAAATGATTTTTTTCTCAAATATTATTAACTTTTATTTAATCACTTCTCCCCATTTCATTAAAAAAACACTTTTTTTAAAGTAGAAACTGTTGCAAATAGACCCTAAACAAATAGAAGTATACGAGACTACCGACTACGAGTAATGCGGTGTAGTAAAGAATAAAGATAACCCTTAGGGTATGTTTGGTTCAAGGAATGTCACATAACCATGGGAATGTTAGATTACTGGGTATGTTAGATAGATGGGAATGTGATTAATGTATAGCCTATTTGTGTTTGGTTACGATTAAGGAATGTCACATTAAGTTGTTTGGTTGAATGATATCTTTTATTGTATATTTGGTGAATTACTTGAATGTCCTTTATATATTTGTCTCTTAACACATTAAATTTATCAATTATTAGAAAATGTATTTCATGTTTTAATTTTTTTTCTCAATTTTCAATTGTAATTCATGTTTCAAATAAATATACTTTAAGTTTTTATATGTAGCACTTCTTGAATTATTTTTTAGACATGAATTAGAAAAATGTACCCGGCCCGGCCCGTTACCCCGGGCGGGTAGACCGCCCCGAACCGGTAGTGGTCAACAGCCGTTCCGGTCCCAGGCTTCATTCCCAAAAAGCCAAGCCCTTCCGGGCCCGACCCGGAACCGGAACCGGAATCGGACTGGGCTCAGTCCACATCTAGATATTTCGATTAATGAAGCATAGGTTTTTTTAGAAGAAAATTAATAAGCCATCAGGAATCTAACATAACCTAAGGCATTGGTGGGTTTGACATGCCTGGTAATGTGATCACCTTTTCCACTTTTGGGAATGTAACATTCCCAAAAAAAAAAATCAAACCCGCGAACCAAACACATGTATCTCACATTCCGGGCATGAGATTCCGCCATGCATAAGATATCACCTTGAACCAAACACTCCCTTAAGGACTACTGTAAAACGTTTGTAGGTGGAAAAAGGTGAAAAATCTTGTAAGCTCGACTATATTCCTTACCCCCACCCGATAAAAAAAAAGTACCTGACCACTCCGCGTATCCCGTTTAAATACGACGATGCAAAATTCGAATCCAAAGACGCATGTGGGGACCATCCCTACACCATAGAACCGGGACCCATTTCCCCAAAAATACAACAAAAAGAAAACAGGGGAAGGGAAAGAAAAGCTGTGAATGAAGTTTGGGAATGATCTCATCTCTCCCCACCCTTTCTTCTTCTTCACAATCAAAGACAAGTGGAAGAATTCCCATTTCCACTTTATTTTAGGGTTTACGAACGTCCATAATTGTTTCTTCACATATGCTTCAACCTACCTCTCTAATCTGTGGAGCACTTTTCAGTTTATTTATAACAGTGAGGTACATCCAGCATTTTCTTATCTTCCCGATCTACTATTGCTCTTCAGTTAATTAAGTCTTTTTGCTGATTTCAAGAGCCAATTTTCTGCTAATCATGGTTTTTCCTTCCTTATGTTTGTTTTCCTTTTTGTATTTTTCTCTTCTTACTTTTAGACTTTGTCTGTGGGTTTGCAACTAGGAGATTTTTCTTTAGATTAGTGGAAGAAATTCAATTAATTTATTTTTTTCAGAAAAAGTTAAATTTTTTATAGATTGGTGAAGCTATTTCATATTTTCGTTTCATTTCCTAGATGACAAATCAGCCATTTATGCATTTTACCTTTTTAATTACGTTTTCATGAAATAAATTACTAAAGTATTCATGTTTCTGAAAATTGGTAGAACTATCTTGGTTCTTTGATTCAAGGTTCTAATCTATGGATTTACTGCAGGAGCTCTGGACCAACTCAAGATTTATAATGTATTCGACGATTCCTGCTTTTGAAGTCAATGGACCATCCAATCTATGGTTTTGCAAAAAAGGTGAATCTAAACTTCCTAAAGAAACTGTTTTTTTACCTCCCAGTTCTTGTGAAACAATTTAGAATTGACTCGGTCTAGCTTACTCTTTCATATGCAGAGTTTAACAAGGTTTCTATTAGATTTGGGCATCTTTCTATGCATGAAGAAGTGTATTGTATAGGTCTAGCTGACTTATTTCTTACCCCTAAAATGTCGATCTGACAAGAGGAGTACATTTGTCATTTGTGTTTGTAATCTTAGTTGGATTAAGTTGTCCGTTTGGGCGTCATGTGGTCTAGACTTAGATTCCATCCTTGGTCAACCTAAGAAGAAATAGTTGTCCAAGACTTAGCGGTGGATGACATAATATTGGTGTATATGATCTATCATCTGCCTTTTCAGGTTTAGTGGTGTTGATGCATATCGGCATGGCAGGATAACTCAACTCTGAGGAGCAGGGTCTTAGCGGTGGATTTGATCTGATTTGTTGCACTGTGATGGGCTCCTTAAAATTTAACTCTGAAATTGTTGAGTCGAAAGAAGAGTTAAGGTCAGTTATGCCCTCTGAAAAGTTTCATTCTGCAAGAACAGCGGAAAGAGACTGGAAGCCTCAGGGGATGAAAAGACTATCCAATAAGTATATTGAAGACGATATCAACCAGCTATTTGCGGGAATAGATATCCGGAAATCAGCCAGTTTGGATTTGTCCGAGAGAGGGAAAAGAGATGCCTCAAAAAGGCCAATGAGGGGTAGCGGTGGACCTAATTCATCACCAGTTATTGGATTCTCAGACCCCGTCTCTATAAAGCAAGCACTCCGAGGACTATGCATTTCTCAGGCAGCAGAAGTGGCTGCAATGAAAAGATCATCCATGGTCTCTGGTTCTCCCAGGTTCTCATACAGGTCGGATGATGGATCTTCCAGTTTTGCTTCTAATAAGGTCCTTCCCCATCTACAAGCGTCCTCCTCGAGATCATTAAACCCTAGCGCCCATTCTTCTCCAAGATATGTAATGAGACCGGCCAATATTCATCGTAACAATAATAGTAGTAATAATAAAATAGTGCCTGCTCCGTTATCAGAGAATGAAATTTCAAAAATTGCAGAAGAAAACCCCGCCCAGCCCCCCAAAAATCTCCAAAAAGCTACTCCCAGCCAACAAAATGTTTCCTTAACTCAACCCGTTAAGGAACCGATTTCCCAGACTATTGAGTCAATTATAATGCAAGAAGAAGAGGAAGAAGTGGAAGAAGAAGACCAAACTACTTCAATTCCTTCCTGCAAATCCAGTAATGGTTCAGTCGTGCTGGATGAGTGTAATTCAGGCCCAAGCAGGGTGACAAGCAGTCCATCCAAACCCCATAAGCTTAGGCGGAGAGGTATACCCTTACCGAATGCAGGAAAGAGCAGTAAGGATACTAAGACAATTGCCCGGAACAGAAAACTTCCCAAATCAAAACCTAACCTGGAGCCGGAACAACAAGTCTTGGACAATTCGGCTCGCTCGTCCGTCACTGTTATCTGCCAAAGATGTCAGTGTGAATTAAAGGATGTGAGGGATGATTCGAGCAAGAAGATCAAAGACCCCCTCCCTATAGAAGTAAGTACTTGTTCTGACAAACCTGATTTTGAGGTGAATCAGGTTTCGAAGTTAAGAGGAGAGTTTTCCCAGAGCTCGAAGAGTAGCATTGGCGATTACAGCTGTAGCACAACGGTTAGCGAAGAGAGCAATAACAGTGGGTCCAGTTTCGGAACCAAACGACACATGTCTAATGATACAAGATGGGAAGCTATCAATTTGGTGAGGAAAAATCACGGGTTTTTGGGCTTGGGTCATTTCAGCCTGCTGAAGAAGCTTGGCAGTGGAGATATTGGGACTGTGTATCTTGCCGAACTGGTTGAAACGAACTGCTTGTTTGCGATAAAGGTTATGGATAATGAGTTCTTGGCCAGAAGGAAGAAGATGCCTAGAGCGCAAACTGAGAGAGAGATATTAAGAATGCTGGATCATCCTTTTCTGCCTACGTTGTATGCACAGTTTACATCAGATAACTTATCCTGTTTGGCTATGGAATTCTGTCCCGGTGGGGATCTTCATGTGCTCCGGCAAAGACAGCCTGGGAGATATTTTCCTGAACCAGCAGCAAGGTATGTCTTGTTCAGTTGTTCCTCAATCTTATACGAAGTATGTTCTATAATAGTTTTACCATGTTAAGCCACCTAACATCTAAAAGAGATAAAAATAAGAGAAAATTGCTCCGCCCTCTGCCTCGAATGATGTGTCTTACTCCCCTGCTTGGAATGTCCAAATTTAATGTCTTCTTTCCTTTTTTGGCATGAAGTATATGCTTTATATCATTTCACCTTAACCACAATTTTTACTTTTCAACCACTTTAGTAATAATCATGTCAAACCAAAACTAGACATAAAATGGGACAGAGGGAGTACTAGCCATTGAATTTAGATCATAATTATTAGTCCAATCTACAAGGTTTCAAAGGTCGATTAGTTAATACTCGAACTTTGGTCAATCTCGCTTCTTCGTCTTTCCACCAATATTTATTTCATTTGGCTTCCATCTTTCATTATTATAAGTCATGGCTGTCTCTTGGTATTCTAATTCTCTGCTACTCGTGGGGAATTGTGTTTCAGAAGAATGAAGGTGAAAGAATTGTAGCAGCCATGCTGGCTCCGAATGACAAAGGAACACCGCTTTGAATTTTAAGAGAATATAAGACAATTTGTTTAGATTTGGTAGTAAAATGTGATAAATTTTTATGGAAGAGGGAAGTTGCGAGAGTATCCAAAGCTCGGTTAACATAATTGGCTTTTGAAAATACAACAATGGACTGTAATTTCAACTTAAGTTGAGTCGGGGCACAGTGTTTTCCAAACAGTACATAGATCCAAAGCATATTAAGCATAAACAAGTTTTCGGTATTTATTAGCCTAAAAACCGAGCACAAATTTCAAGCTAGATACCTCTAACGAGTTACCCCAACTCCCAAGTCTTGAAACGTGAGCAAAAATTTCAATCTAGATTACTATTAACAAGGCATAATTAATATCATTAATTTCAGATTTTATGTTGCGGAAGTCCTCCTGGCGCTAGAGTATTTGCATATGCTAGGTGTGGTGTACCGTGATTTGAAGCCTGAAAACATTATGGTCCGCGAAGATGGTCACATAATGCTCACAGATTTTGACCTGTCATTGAGATGCTTGGTTAACCCCACTCTTCTAAAGCCATCACCGTCAGCTCCTTTGGATCCAGCTAGGATATCCGGCCCGTGTGCTGGATCCAAATGCATTGACCCTTTTTGTGCTGGACCGTCATGCAAAGTTTCATGCTTTACTCCTTGGAACAAACCTCCCACACCAAGATCAAGCAAGTTAGTAGTTGAATCTTCATCCTTTGATCGGTCATTGCCACAAGTTGTAGTTGAGCCAACGGAAGCTAGGTCTAACTCTTTTGTTGGGACACATGAGTATTTGGCTCCGGAGATCATCAAAGGTGAAGGCCACGGGAGTGCAGTTGATTGGTGGACACTAGGTGTGTTTCTTTATGAACTTCTCTATGGCAAGACGCCTTTTAAAGGTGCCGGAGTTGATCAAACTCTGGGCAATGTGGTGTTACAGAACCTCAGGTTCCCTGAAAGCCCTATTGTCAGTTTCCAGGCCCGTGACTTGATCAGAGGGCTTCTGGTAAAGGAGCCTGAGAATCGGTTAGGATCCAAAACCGGAGCAGCTGAGATTAAGCGGCACCCGTTTTTTGATGGTCTGAATTGGGCACTAATACGGTGTACCACTCCACCTCAAGTGCCTGAGTTCTGCATCATCGAAGATCCAACTATTGAATTGCATGATGAGAGCAACAAAAACCTCATAGAGAACACCTCCATGGATAGTCGCGTAGAATTCCAGTTGTTTTAGCAAACAATGCACAATTTGTAACATATGATGTCCGTAGTATGTAATAATGAATCCCCGGGTTGGTAGTAATAAATATTTGATGTTATAACTGTAATGTAAAGGTTCAGAACAAGCTTTTATTTTAGATACATTAGTCACTTCACATTTCAATTTTGTTCCATCATGTCTTGTTCTTGACTTGTGCGTATATAATTTCTTTCATATACATTTAGTGTCCCTGTTCAGTATATCTGTTAGTTTTCGTTTTTTTTTTGTTTTATGATTTTAAAAAGTGAGTATCATATATGTTGTATAATACTATAATACGTTAATAAATAATCAACATATAATAAACCCGTTGATTATGAAAGTTGCTCTAAAAATACTAAACACTATTTTCTGTTTTCATTATTTATTTTTTTGTTTTCAAAAATAGAAAGATGATATCGAAGGACTAGCCTAGCACTTCAAGTTTCATATTTTTTAAAGGAAGTGTATTTTTTATATATTTTGTCTAGACAATTTAACTTGCGTATAAATTGGAATTTTCTTGAGTCTTATTTCCAATTATTTGTTTATAGATTGATGATCATCATCACTGTGAAAGTGTGAATCATTGTTGATTAATTTTGACTGTTTGGAGTGGGTTAAGCGAATAAACACACAATGTCTTGTGACTTTGTAACAAAATGCACACTAGATACGGTTGTCTCATTCATACTTTTCAAAGACAGATTCTTTTATGACCTTGCTCTTAAAATACACAAATGCTATTGCTATCCCAATTTGTACCCCATTTTGTACACCTCCCTATATTTGTGGTTCACAAAAGCAATTCATTAAAATGGAGCAATTCATTTAATGTGTTGGAGTTTTGTGAACCACAAATATAGGAAGGGTGTACAAATGAGGTACCAAATGAGGTACCTCTAGCACAACTCCTTAAAATATTGACACATGATTTTATTTCAAATAATCTCACACCCTCTAAGAACCCGTTTGGTAGCACCAAAAGCGGCTGTTTTGGCTGATTCTGTTGAAATTTATGAATTTCTAGCTGAAGTGGCTGCATTGGCTGATTCTGTTGATTTAAGAAAAAATCATTTTTAAAACATATTTTATTAATAAAATAAAGAAAAAATTATATGTTAAAATAGCTAAAATGGTCAGCTACAGTAACTTCAACCAATCCAACCAGAAAAGTAACTTTAACCTTACTTTTTCTGCTTATTACACAATTTAGTAAAAAAGTTGACTGATAAGCCTGATAAGCCGAAAAACTGTGTTGCCAAATGACCTCTAAATTATCCAATCAAACTCCAAATAAGCAGATCTTTTATTAGTCCTAACTCAAAAGTTTAATGCTATTTCACAAATAATTATGAAATGATCTCAAATTATATTGTGATCATATATTATTTTGTCAAATAATACATCATTAAATAAACACTCCCATTCAACCATTACAAATAATCAGCCACTTATCAAACAAACAAATACTCGTGTGCCCCCATAAAGTAGCATTGGGACCCCATGAAAATGATATAATAGAGGATATGTAGTTAAACGGGGGGAAGCGTTAGCGTCTATTTGGGACATTTTTTACGTTCAAAATTGTTAACAATTAGAAATGTTAAATACGAAGTATAAACTATAAAGAAAGAAATCCCGAACAAATTATCCCTCGTGTTTGAACATCCAATTTGAGAAGTGGAATACACCCTTTGTCGACGCGTGATAGACATATCACCTCCCATTCTTGTTATTGTCGGACACTCATGAATCAAATAAACTAAAACACTTTGACCCAGGTCTAACAATGAAAGGATGTCCACTGTGGTGGTTGATCTTCTCACGACTCAAGTAGTCAATTGAGGATGTTTTTAATTCCATCAGTTTCATTTTTGAATTTTTTCAGTGTACGTGAGTTGTACACAGAAAAAAGACAGGATTTGATGTCACATGTCAAAACCCCCTGGTTGTTTGTGTACACATGCAATATACAATTTATGTACATCAAGAATGACCCTTCATTTTTAAACTAGATCAGACCAAATTTAAATATATCAGATCAAATTAGATTTGACCAAGTTTTGTGGTTGTAAAATACACAAAAAACAAACATCTATTAGATCGGACCAAAATTACATAGACTAGACCAGAAAAAATTGAAGTCCAATTAAAAACAATTCTCAATCTTAGCATGCGTAATTGACGAGCACTTTGTCACGGTGCGTCAAAATAAATTCAATACTAACACTTATACGTAGTATAGGTGAAGTAGAGTTCATATCCACATGGAAAGGAATAATTTATCTTTTTAACGAAAGGAGTAATTAAAGGGGTGTTTTGGGTTGAATGATTTAATTAAATTAAACACGAAGATGAACGAGTTATATGTGATTTAATTCAAAGATAAAAAGGACTTGGCATTGCTACTTTCCACTTGTTGATATATTTCAGTCGATCATTGTTATATCTATAACTTATCTCCTCTCGAATACTCAATCGAGGAGTATATCCAATTCATCGAGGAAAGTTATTAACAACGACCGTTCATTAATAACCCTTACTATTAGTCAAGTATAGAACAACGCCATATACCTACTTGATAGTAGCATTTAATCTCTTAACTCCTTGATGAAATCAATTGAGATTGATAACCTCAACACAACGGTTTCGGTTTAACCAACAAAATTAATCCCTCTTAAGTTTACTAACCACGACCGTGCATTAATAAACCGAAGTTACTTACTTGTGAAACCATCAACGATTAACCAGGATATTTGTTTTAAAGCGAGGCTAGTCACCAAAGATAATTGTTTGCCTACATCGAATTTAAATACTCAAATTAAATTATACTGGAAAAGGCATCAACGGTCCCATACCATGAAGACTAGATCTCAATCCCAAGTGGAATTCTACCATATGGATTGAGCTGTTTAGGTCTGTAGGGCGATCTACTTTGTCTGTCTATATTTGGGTCTCTTGGTACTTCGGGTTGGGTCATCTTTAACTTTGTTTTTTTCATTTTCTTTCTCTTTTTCCGCTTGTACTCCTCTGTTTCATGATTCAATAAAACTTTCTCATTTTAAAAAAAAAAAAAAAAAACCATCAACGATTAACCATCGGTTCGTTGATCGTTTCTAGTAATAATTAATATTTGAAACAAAACTAGTTGATCCTTTAAGTAATGTTTAAAAATATTAATATGAAATATGAATAGGAATTAATTAATACTCACGGAAGAATATTAAGGAAAATGAATCCTACTATAGTTAATATCAAGATGTTAACTAATTGTCATCTTAGTAACACTCCCCAATATTAACATAGAGGAAGGAATAGCCCTTACTAAGACCAATGTCAAGATGTTAACTAATTGTTATCTTAGCAACACTCCCCAACATTGATATAGAAATAGTATTTAAGAGAGGCATTAATATTCAAGGAAAGAAGTTAAGAAAATAACTCACAACTTTAATAATCAACAAGCTTCAAGAGCAACACCAAGAAATGGAAGTTTAGCTCCTCATTTGGAGACTAAACATGCTATAAAAATATAAAAGAAATACTATTCTAAACTGAGCTTAAGAGTATGGAAGAAGGGATGATGAAAAGTGAAGGAATATGGGGCTATTTATAGGTGTTTTCAACACCCTGGGGCATTTACCCGACCGGGTCAATTCAAGTGCCCACCCGACCGGGTAAATGTCAAAATCAAATATTTCCCACGTTCTGGAGATCTTCGGCATGTTCTGGTGTTCCGGGTCACATCTGACCCGCCCGGGTCAAATAAGTGACCCGCCCGGGTCTAGTGACTTTCTCAGCAGTTTCTGATTCTTTGTCATGCCCGACCGGGTGGAGTATTGTACCCGGTCGGGTTTTTGCTTCTGGGCAGCCAAATCTTATTTTTCTTAACTTCAAAGTCCTCCTTTTCAACACCCTAATTCCTAACTCTACTTTACAACTTACAAATGAAGATTAAAATACAATTACAACTAAAATCACACAAATGCTTACAAACTAAATAAAACGGTAAACAAACCACACAAATCAAACATAAAAACATACACTTATGCACTACTAATTAGTGCATATCAGTAATTGATACTCAATGTTGCAATTAATGAATTATTATTAAAAAAACCCTAATTTAAGTTGCTCTAAACAGGGAATTAGAACTTCAACTATTTGGAAATTGGTTTTCTTATAAATACATAAAAATTGGGTTTCTTGCTATTAATCTACTAGGGTGTGCTTTTTCTTAGTTCCTTTATTTCTCAATCTACAAGGTTTCAAAGATGTATAATGCACATGAAACAAGTAATAGGAGTTGTTAAAAAAAAAACTGAAAAAAGCATGGGGTTCTTACAAAAATATTATTGAAATAAAATTTATTTACACAAATATGACTATTAATTAATACAATATAGTGTCATAGTAACTTAACATAAAAAAAAAAATGAACACACGTTACTACTTTAGTCACTAATCACATTTTTGTAAATCGTCTTCATTTTAATCACAAAAATGTAGTTATTTCAAACTATCAAATCATAATGTAGTAGAATCGAACTAAGTAACATGTTCCAAAACAATGATTATTTTCTTGGACCGAACCGATTTGGGACGGGGACGAAAACCTTTTATAATTTTAATATATACTCCATCTGTCCCTTAAAACTTTGTCATTTTTTGTAACTGTAAAATTTTTAATGTAGTTTTAATATATATATATATATATAGATATATATATATAGATATATAGATATATATAGAGAGAGAGAGGTCTTCTTGTCAGGCCGGCCTGACGGGATGCTCCGTCTGGCTGAGCCCGTTTGGGAACATTCCCGGTGGAATTTTTTGATGAAATTTTTTGAGCATGTTCCTCATCAAGTCTAGTTTGTCCACACCAAATTTCAGCTCAAAATTCGATCGGGAAGGCATTCAAATCATTTTTTGAAGTTGACTGCATCAAAATATACATATAAAACTGCAGTCAACTTCAAAAAATGATTTGAATGTCTTTCCGATCGCATTTTGAGCTGAAATTTGGTATGAACAAACTAGACTTGATGAGGAAAATGATCAAAAATTTTCATCAAAAAATTCCACCGGGAAGGTGCCCAAACGGGCTCGGCCGGACGGAGCATCCCGTCAGGCCGGCCTGACATGAAGATTTGTCATATATATATATATATATATATATATATATATATAT